TCACTCTTCTGTCCAGGTGTTATTACAACGAACTTCTTACAAAGTCATCCACTCCTGCCAGTGCTGGAGTATAGGATGAAATCTTCTTCACCGACCCTTTTTCAACCCTTTTTTATATGCAACACTCATTTTACTCCCATTTAGAATCCTAATGGCTTATTGAGTGCGACATGGCCTATACATTGACTTGCGAGGTCAGCCGATGTACAGGTCAGTATTCTTATCTTTGCAGATGAATGTGGTGCCATCCTCAGGAGAAGAGTCTCGTTTATCCTGTTCCGGAAATTTCCCAGACCGGACCACGCGCGTGCTAAGCCCTCCTCTTGCCACTACACCACATTAGCCTCATGTTCTGACAATCATTGGCCCATTGGCAATCCTACCACTTAAATGTTACCTATTGTTTCGGAAGAACAAGAACCATGTACATAGGCAGTGGCAATGCTTTGAATTCATCGGAATATTGGGATTTGGAAAAGAATTATTCACAAAAAATTGGGACGACCACCACAACACCATTGCCATGTCATGAAAGGAATCATGATATGACTCATATTTCCCTTTTTATAGCCCCGTGCGACATTTGGTCGACACATGTGCTTGAAATTAGTGCTCTTTTCTACAGGCTTGTTAGCTGTGGACAGCTGGGGCATGTTAGGGGATTGGGGTTTGACGGGGCACAGTCTGTTTTCCACCAAAGATGGAAATTCGCAGGCGACCGTAATCGGTGGAAAACTGGCTGGCGCCGTGCCAAACCCAGCCTTCCTCCCTGACACGTCCCAGTGTGCGCAGTTTACAAAACAGTACATGCAACTTTTCCACACATCCGACTTTCTAACCCTGACTTCGTTCGTTTACCTATAAGACCGCTTTATTACTTTTAAAAGAGAGCGTTCTGAAAATTTAGATGAGAATTCTGTGCTACATAACCCTTCTCCCCTTGATATATTCAAGGAAAATTACACCGAAAGAGAATATGGAAATCAGTTCAGATTGTGGATATGGTAGGTGCTTTATTCCGTACGCAGACAGTTGAAACACGTACGAACGAATTCGACGGATGTATAGGTTTTTGTTATTTCATCGTGATAAGACTCGCTCAAATGCTCCACAAAGACGTCATGTTCATATCTATGTGAATACGGGAAGTTCGTACAATATCCGAGGACCCAGAAAAAGCCTGAGGTTCAACAGTGTTCAAAATGGTGATTTCTCAGCTAGGAAAAAGCTAATGCTAAGAGCTCTTGCCTGGCGAAGAAAAACTGCTCCCCAGACGCAGATTGGCTTGGAGGGACCACCAAGTGACACTCAACAAAGCCTGTGCAGGTCACTTCGTGAAGACCAGTAAATTCTTGTGACCATAGTAATTCACCAGCACCCGTTTCCCGGCTCCATAAGATTGTACAGTTCCTATCTAGTGAGACCTGTTAATTAAAATGAACTAGCAGAAGTGCGATATGACCCTCTAAATCCGAAGGAAATAATATCCTAAATTGAACTTACTCAGTGCCAGATGTATAATTATGCCATTTCAC